TCAAGCCAGTCATCAGCACCAAGATCACAACAACATGGTTCAGAAAAGCTGTGGGACGCAGATAATGGCGGAGCGTCAGAGATGACCTGCAGTCTGGAGGATCTATAGACATTAAAAGATAAAGAATCTCACTTTATGCTGCAACCTGTTAATATTACAGAAGAGAAAAGAGTCAAAGCTTGATTGGAAAGTTTCACCTCTGAATAATTATATTCTAACTAGGGGCAGAATATTAAAAATCTCCAGTGTGCGATTAAACTAAATAAATAAAAAAATCAAATTTCCTTTATTTCAGGGTTTGTACATTCAGTATTGTTTCCATGGAAGCCAAAACATTTCTTTAAATTCCACTCAGCCTGAAATGGATCTCAGGGACAGTTTAACACATTAAGAGGAGATCAGCATTTAAGCCCCTTTCATTGCTCTCTTTTCTAATTGTTGTTGTTGAGGTGGAAAATTAAAGCATTTAATGATATTTAAAGATATGACATAACTGAGAGAAATGATGAAAACTGCTCCTTCAGGTTTCTGTTTCATGTCAGCATTGATGCTTTTACTTCCTTTTTCTGCGCTCTTAGGATTTCTGTGACGTTTTTACCATAATGACCGTAATAAATATTCCCTGACCTTAATATGTTCTGGTTATTAGAATATTTTAAAGATGTAAACAACCCTGAATGAAATCAGGCGCAGGAATAAACATGGTTCAGCCCTTATTGAGATAAGAAAGGATACATCCGGCCGTCCTGCTTTGAATATAAATCTCTTCTTCCTCTAAAACTCAGCCTGTTTTCCATCAGCGCAGAACAGCAGGACAGATTCAAGTTCAGCTAAAATACAGTCGCTTGTTGAAACATAAACACTCTAATTTGGTTTTAAAGCAGATTCATGTCAGAAATGTTCTGGAAAATAAACCAAAATCATTCTGATTGGTCAGCTGGGCTGAAAGAAATAGAAACAATCCATTATTTCTGTTAATAATTAGAGGTATTTAAGTTAATAATTAACTTAGAGGTAATGCACAGAATTACCTCAGTGCAGTGTGTGGACCATGCACTGCAAAAAGGATCTGGAAATAAGTCAACAATTCTTAAATTAGGTGTATTTACATGTTATATTTATGAGCTTGACTGGAAATGTATTTATGATATCTGAAAAAAAATGTTCATAGTAAGAATAATGCAAATGCTGAGCAGTACTATTAGGAATATGGAGATCTGAAGTTAATTTCCAGAATGTTTATTCTAGATATGGAGATTTTAATTTTGTTTAAAATGGTCATTTAGAAAAAGAAAACAGATTATTTTCCAGATATCAGGAACACATGTTGAGTAAAACTAGTAAATATCAAAATGACTTGCTATAGTCTGCTGTGACCACGGTAATATTACGGGATTATTTCCTGAATGCTAGTAGATCAATGTATCTATTTATTTCGTTTGGAGCTTCACTTCATGTTTTCATCCCAATAAATGGTCGTTATTAGTGGCCATCAGGTTATATCAGGCATATAATGGCTCAGGTTGATATTATAGAGTAAATCCTAATCCTAATGAATTAATGCATCTATTTATGTGTAATCTAAAAAAATTATCTCAGTAGTTCTTCATGTGCTGTAAATATAATTAAATAAAAATAAAATGATCCTCATCTCGTTCATATTAAACAAACCAAAAACCAGTGATCTCCCATCCTGTCACTGAGTTGGTGAATCCTCTCCCTATAAATATTTAATTCTCTGTGAATTAATGCCGATCGTTGCTGATTGGCTGTAAGGAGAGCGGAGACAGAGGACACTCTGAGTTTACTGGAGAAAACCTGCTGCTGACCAGGTTAGCTCTGAGGAGGATGTTACTATGGCAACAGATACAGAGGATGAGGAAACTGTCTTTGTGAAACAGAAAAGTT